TTTGCTTCAAGTGATCAGGATAATTTTTAGTTTAGGTTTATGCCTAGGCAGGAATAATAAAATATGTAAGTTTCAAGAAGTTAGAATAAAAGCACGAGATGAACTGTGAGATATAAAAAAGCTCAAATATCACTTGCGTAATTAACGTTTTAACTTGTTTTCGAACGCGTCCGAAAATAATTGCGAAAAAATTTTTAAAACTGACTACAATTTCCAAGACAACGTTTTTTGTTCATTTTATGAATGACTTCGTCCACACAGAAAGTTTGAAGGAAATCTGTAATCTTAAGAAATTCGAGTGGTCGGTTTTTACACGGACTGCCTCTTAACAGTCATACTCTACGTTTTATCCAAAAGAATAAAACGCCGAATCGCGGATATGACTTATAAAGGCACAAAAAACTTTTTAAAAAACGGTGGTTTTGGCTAAAACGCGGACTGATGGAGTTTCAACCTCGTACCCAGGGTCTTTCCTCTGGGGGAGAAAAGACCCTGGTAGACGCTGGTCACGTGATCTGCTAAAACTAGCAGATTTCTAATTAACTATCTTGGATTCCTTTGCAACAATCATACAGAATGCAAATTATAAATTAAACTATAAAAATCACTCAAATAGCAAATATTTATTGACCTCATCTTGGATTGCTATTTAAAAATCTGCTAGATTTTAGCAGATCACGTGACCAGCGCTATACCAGGGTCTTTTTTCATCAAGAGGAAAGACCCTGGGTACGAGGTTGATGACGTTTAATGAGAAATTAAGTTATCCGTCCGTCGATTAATACTATCGAACTTTGACAAAATCCACTGGATTTAAAACAGGCGTATCTCCTCCTAATTTAAGTGTGAACTAAATCTGAATAACGTTCGACAAGTAGTCTGCTGTGATGGGAAGTATTTTTACTGATTCAGCAGCCATAATTGGACTATTGCACCCATAATTGGACTATTGCACCAAAGAGTTGAACAAGCGTCGTGAGTTGAAGCCGCATATTCGATCCTCTGTTCGGAGAAGTACTACCAAGCATATTAGGACTCAATTCAGGTAATTGTTTTGTATTTGTAAAAAAAGAATGATCACTCACAACTCTGTATTCGCGTTATCAAATTTGCTAAGCCTTCGTCAAACGATGACCAGAAGCGAGAATCTGCATGAGAGTTTTATCAACTCTTATGTTCCAGTCCGGCCAAGGAACCGCCAACTCGCTAAGTATTGCTGTATTGGTATGCGCAGGAGACTAGTTCCAGCCACACCGCAAAAATAAAAGTTGCACGAGAGTTGACATTTCATCATGTTGACATCAACCCTCATCGTTTGACCAGGGCTTTTAAATTAAAGAACATTAGCGTATCTAACTTTGAAGAAGTACAATTAGTGAGAACAGACACTCCACGTTGACTTTATAGCAAGGAAGATTGACCAGAATAATACCAGTGACGGAAACTGACGTATCATCCGCTTTCGTGAACACAACTGACGAGATGAACTATGGTAATGCAGATGAACTATGGTAATGCAGATGAACTATGATAATGCAGATGAACTATGATAATGCAGATGAACTATGGTAATGCAGATGAACTATGGTAATGCAGATGAACTATGGTAATGCAGATGAACTATGATAATGCAGATGAACTATGGTAATGCAGATGAACTATGGTAATGCAGATGAACTATGGTAATGCAGATGAACTATGGTAATGCAGATGAACTATGGTAATGCAGATGAACTATGGTAATGCAGATGAACTATGGTAATGCAGATGAACTATGATAATGCAGATGAACTATGGTAATGCAGATGAACTATGGTAATGCACATGAACTATGGTAATGCAGATGAACTATGGTAATGCAGATGAACTATGGTAATGCAGATGAACTATGGTAATGCAGATGAACTATGGTAATGCAGATGAACTATGGTAATGCAGATGAACTATGGTAATGCAGATGAACTATGGTAATGCAGATGAACTATGGTAATGCAGATGAACTATGATAATGCAGATGAACTATGATAATGCAGATGAACTATGGTAATGCAGATGAACTATGGTAATGCAGATGAACTATGGTAATGCAGATGAACTATGGTAATGCAGATGAACTATGGTAATGCAGATGAACTATGGTAATGCAGATGAACTATGGTAATGCAGATGAACTATGATAATGCAGATGAACTATGGTAATGCAGATGAACTATGGTAATGCAGATGAACTATGGTAATGCAGATGAACTATGGTAATGCAGATGAACTATGGTAATGCAGATGAACTATGATAATGCAGATGAACTATGGTAATGCAGATGAACTATGGTAATGCAGATGAACTATGGTAATGCAGATGAACTATGGTAATGCAGATGAACTATGGTAATGCAGATGAACTATGATAATGCAGATGAACTATGATAATGCAGATGAACTATGGTAATGCAGATGAACTATGGTAATGCAGATGAACTATGGTAATGCAGATGAAGTGGCGCTTCATTGTTTATTGAGTTTATCACTCATTGGTTACTAGCCTGCGTGGCAGGCGGTTTTTAGGGAGGCCGTGTAGAAATACCGCCTGCCACGCAGGCTAATTGGTTACCGGATTTCCCAACAGGCTATAGGCAATTCCAGCTTTTAGTTTATGCGTGCAGGGGACGATGGGAAGTAAGGTATCACATTGCTGATTATGCTGAAAAAATAGAAATGGTGGCCGTGTAAACACGGAGTGATAGCTTATTATACCTTACTTCCCATCATCCCCTGCAGGCATAAATTAACTAAAAGCTGGAATTGCCTATTGTCCAAATGATATAGGGATTCCGAGGTATACTTACGATTTTAAGAGCATTCAGGCTTAGATACAAAAATCCATCAACTTCGAGCGGGGAAATATCTGCTTTCGTCACGGTTCGTCTGCATTCCGTCGTATTCCTGAAACACATACCTACGGCTACGCACGCAAATTCGTTTAGAAATTGTCGAAATTTTGTCATTTATTTAGTGGGCTGAAAGTACGAAACATTTGTTTTTGAAGTATTTTTTATTTAGATCAAAAGATGAATACTGTGTTTGCCTTTGCCTTGTTATTCACTGTTTCCTTTTCCTCGTCTCAAGCGTACGAATGTTTTTGTGAATATCGTCCATGCAAGAGCGTGAAGATTTTGAAGCAAACGTGTAAAGGTGGTCTGGTTCGTGACAATTGTGGTTGCTGCCAAGTTTGTGCTAAAGTTGAAGGCGAAGTTTGCTATGGTCTATGGGATGAAGATGGGTATTGTGACCAGGCCCAGGGTCTGTTCTGTGATATAGGTGGCAAGTCTAGATATTGGGACATGGCGCAAGGGAAATGTCAACGAAAGACGATAACAACACCAACACCAACAACAACAACCACACCAAATAATATTAGCAAAGCAACAAAGCTACGTGTTCTCTTTGAGCAGCGTTTTGGAAGGGCCGTGTAAAGCCTAGTTTCCATTTGGTCGTTAGTTGTCGCTGGCACGACAAGCGGTAGATGTGAAATAGTCTAATATCAATAGTCTTTTTGTGTGTTATATGCAAATCAGTCTTAATGATTGCAGAGTTTTATAAAGTTTTGTTCATTTGTTGACACTCTATTACATCAGCCATTTGTCGTGCCAGCGACAACTAACGACCAAATGGAAACTATAGGCTTAAACCAAAATTTGAAACAGTCGCTATCATGCAGTTTACACTAGACAATCGCAAATTTTATTTTCAACTATAGATAGTTTCAATGTATAATAAATACTTGTTAGAGTGTTCTTAGGAGTCCCAATTTGCTAAATGCACATCACATGAAAAACGGTAGCTTTACAAGGAGTTACTATAGCAAGGGGTAGTGCTGCCGTATGATCATGTAAAAATGTCATCTTCACCGACTGAAACAGACAATTAACTAACCAAAATCAAGATTATATATATGGGGTTGACTTATTCACATTGCTAAACACTGACTGTTATGTCTCATTTTTACTGTCAAAATATTTTCAAAGCAACATCACTGAGTGACTGTATGATTGTATATATTCACTTCACAGGGCCGTAGCAACCGGGGGGGCTGCAGCCCCCCCAATAATTTGCTAATAATCATTCTTTTTTCAAAATCATGCAAACTTTATCATTTAATCTGTGACAAACTGCAAAGAATGAAGATATTACTCATACTCCAGATCGTTCCTCGCGTAGAAATTTTTGCTGAATTTCTGTCGCGCATTTTCAAGAAAATCCCACAAAATCTGCACATTTTTGATGAACTAATGATTTATTTTGTCTTTTGCGTGTTGGGTCTTGCGAAAGAAAACTCTGAAAATGCCATTTCAGACCATCTAGAGACTCCAGATTTTCGAAATTTTCTCGAATGTTCTGCCTTCATTTCCGCGCAACTGCCATTTACGACGAAAATTCCCGCCGCGCATTTATAATACTACAGTCTGGCCCATACTTTCCTGTAAATTTCGACATACTAAAACGCTGTTTTCTGACTATCAGAATTCTGTTAAATCTTCCCCCAAAGTCCAGGAAATGGCATTTTAGAGACTCTAAATTTAAAAATTTCCTCGGGCCTTCGGCCCTCGCTTTCAGCCCCCCCAATCGAAAAGAGCTTCCTACGGCCCTGTTTCATAAGAGATGCTTCAAACCAACATTTTAAACTTTTATGCATAGTGCTTATTCAAATTAGTTGCGAGGAATATCAGGTGACATCTCGCAAGGTAGATCAAGGTACAAATGCGGAATAAAAACAGTGCTATAAAATCCTTATTTCTCGTTATACTGTATATGTCTAACTTTCTGACATTATGATCCCGTCAGTAAAAGTTTGCAATCTCGTCCTCGTATCATTGTTGCATGTGCACTTAGCGAATTTGGGCAGTGCCTTAAGGCGGTTTTTCAGTCCTCGCACGAAGCTCCTCGCAGCTCGCTGCGAGTGCTTGCATCTAATTAAAATTAACTGTTTTGCATTGTGATTGGATGAAAGTGCTCATGCATGCACTCGCAGCGAGCTGCGAGGAGCTTCGTGCGAGGACTGGAAATCCGCCTTAATAGTATATAATAATTAAAGTAAACAAATGAGAAAAATTATAATATATCACAAAGGTCAAAATGTCAATTTTGTTTGTAAAGTTGACTGATGTTCCGGTCCACTATTGCCAATACGCGTCAAGCTACTTTAAAATCCAAGCAAATATATGCGGTATTTCGGTTGTTGACCGGGCTGTTGATGGTTTTTTTGCAACGTCTGCCGACGGTGTTGGTACAGTAGTGATGGTTTTTTGTCCACCGATTGTCGGTGAAATCTCTGTCATTTTTCCTTCTTGATTTTCAGTGTTGGTAGATTCCTTTTCTTTGTAGCTTGTGAGAGATTCAGTTAGCGACTTTTTGAAAAACTAGTGAAGATAAAATCTGGGTGAGTGTTTGGTTCTATATATAGTGAAGGTAGCAATCAACAATCTCGTAACCTGAATCCGCGGTCCTCTGGGCACCAGATTGTACAAATACAAATTTTATTCAAACAGAGTTAAACGAATACTGGTACATATAGAATGCAAAACATATTAAATTTACAGAGAGACTAGATTAAAAATTAGAATTATGTACTATAGTTATAATTGATCAAAATTTGTTAGAACATCTTGGCAATACTTGGCTACCAATGTCCCCACGGATTTGTCTTTCATTACAATCAACATAAATAAACAAGTCATGATTAATCTTCTTCCGATGTTTTTATCTCAAAAATAACTAATGGAGTCTAATGCCAAACACAAACTTCGTGAAATCTTTCTTAATAAGCTTATAAACCTTAATAACCATCTCGAAAACCTGTTCTGTAAAAATCGTAAATATTTACTAAATTGTAAGTACTATTTACAACATGACTTGAGCGGTCGTGTTGTGTTGGATATACAAACTCGAGCTGAAGGGGAGAACATTCATATTCTTCGACTGATTTAAAATAAATGAATGATATTTGGTGAGAGAATTGAACTTAAAGTTTATGTAAATCTGCATGATTCTGTATCAAATATACAAACTCTTTCACGCTCATGCATGCATGATTTCTTTTGTGTGTTCTTCATGAATTATTAACGAGTTTCACAAATGTTTCAAGTGACTAATTAATTTTCACTCGTATGTAAATTTAGTAATCATACCTTTTTATGTTTGTAAATATTGTAACATTGTGAGGGCCGTATGTAAGATTACTATTATGGTTAACCCTCGTGAAATAAAGTCAGTTACGTTACTATAAGCTACGTGAGATTGTCATGCAGGTGGGTAGCCCCACCTCTTCCGCAAGCCGTAATGAATACTCTATTAATCTCGTAGGTGGGGTGCGGCAACTTACTCTATCCGTTTATGCTATCGAAGAGCCCCCGACGTCGCCATTTCGTGAAACAAAACACACTTACGCGACTTTATAGACTTTATAGTTAAAGAATATCTGATTGAACAACTATTACAACTTTATAAAACAATAAGTAGATTATTGTAATTCATATTATCAAAAACCTACCTTCGTTACAAGATAATTGATTTGCTTTGTTGCGGGTTTCGCACTTGTTGGGACATTTGTTGGGACACTGTTCTGTAAAAATCGTAAATATTTACTAAATTGTAAGTACTATTTACAACATGACTTGAGCGGTCGTGTTGTGTTGGATATACAAACTCGAGCTGAAGGGGAGAACATTCATATTCTTCGACTGATTTAAAATAAATGAATGATATTTGGTGAGAGAATTGAACTTAAAGTTTATGTAAATCTGCATGATTCTGTATCAAATATACAAACTCTTTCACGCTCATGCATGCATGATTTCTTTTGTGTGTTCTTCATGAATTATTAACGAGTTTCACAAATGTTTCAAGTGACTAATTAATTTTCACTCGTATGTAAATTTAGTAATCATACCTTTTTATGTTTGTAAATATTGTAACATTGTGAGGGCCGTATGTAAGATTACTATTATGGTTAACCCTCGTGAAATAAAGTCAGTTACGTTACTATAAGCTACGTGAGATTGTCATGCAGGTGGGTAGCCCCACCTCTTCCGCAAGCCGTAATGAATACTCTATTAATCTCGTAGGTGGGGTGCGGCAACTTACTCTATCTTTATGCTATCGAAGAGCCCCCGACGTCGCCATTTCGTGAAACAAAACACACTTACGTGACTTTATAGACTTTATAGTTAAAGAATATCTGATTGAACAACTATTACAACTTTATAAAACAATAAGTAGATTATTGTAATTCATATTATCAAAAACCTACCTTCGTTACAAGATAATTGATTTGCTTTGTTGCGGGTTTCGCACTTGTTGGGACATCGGAATTTTTAACCGATAAAATTCTAGACAAAATTAGTCGGCGAATATCGTCTAGGTGAGGGTTAAAAGGAGGGCAAATAACTCTACGATTTATAACTCTACGTACGCGATTTATAATAGGCCAATAAGGCCATACAGTATTGCCTGTTGTTGCTGCTGTTGTCGTTGTTGCTACGGTTGTTGTTGTAGGTATTGTTGTTCCCGTTGCAGTTGTTGACGGTGGTTTAGTGTTTTCGGTTTTCTTTACTGATGTTGTCTCCCGCGCCCCACTGTCTGTTGGTTCACAGCCATTCCCGCCAATACAACTGATAGGAAGACTATCCACCGACTGAATTAAGATAACCAGCAAGAAACAAAAATATACTGCAGTTTTCATTTTATTTTGCCTGTCGGATATTCGCTCTTTGTTTTCGATTACTATCGCACTTTATACCTATACAACAATGAAGATTTATAACATTATATATACTGACATGTAACTATACCACATGTACTATTTACAATTACAACATGAACGGCCGTGTTGTATCGGATATACAAACTGGAGCCGAAATGGCTTGTGAAACGTCTTGAGTGATAACAGTCGTAACCTTCAATAATTTAAAGTAAATGAATTATATTTGTTGAGAAAATTGAACTTAAAGTGTATGTAAATGATTTAGCATGATTTTGTATCAGATATACAAACTCCTTCACGGTCATGATTTCTTTTGTGTTTAAGTGTTTTCATATTTAATAATTCATGAGAATTATTAAATATGACTTATATGAGTTTCACAACTATATTATACAACATGAATGATATGAAAGAAACCATTAACATTAACTAAAACCTGATTCTAAAACAACCCTGAACCCACAGTCAATGACACTGTTAAATAATTGTCCCTTCATTTGCATATTTAGTTTCCATATAGGACGTGAAATTATAACCATTTTATATGGGAAAACATTTTATAAAGAGCCACAATACAACTTAATTTATCAGTTCACTTACCAGAGCAAATCTGAAATTGTTGTTTCGCGCGTTGGATCCAAAGCTTCTGGAAAGCTATAGGCCTGTTGCTAAGTTTATAAAGTAACCTCAAACGTGACTTCCTATTTCCCAATAAACAACTTAATTAACCCCTGCTCAGCAGCACCCCAACTGCTTAAGTCTTAGCACCTGTAAATCTGGCCTTCATCAACTGTTATATCAACCAAGCCTCGTTAGTATCAATATTTAATACAAGCAATTCATGTGTTCTTATTCTTTTCTACGTAATATTGTATTATAATGGGGCACTACAGGATATAGTCAGTTTATTAACAGCCGGCATGTTTTCGAAGTCGTGCTATTTTTGAAACATCACTCGACACCCACCCAGCGTGGTCGCTACAAACTCTTCGTCCGTCAGTGCGTACTTACGGTACTGTTGGTGGTGGTTTATGTTAATTAACAATTGCGAAACAGAATGTTCCTGAATTTGCTGGGAACCGTTTGCTTTTCAGGGAAGAAATTTTGTTTCCTCACAAAGAGAGGGAAAACTCGTAGCAAGCATTTTGAGAAAACATCAGTAGGATTTTCATATATATATATATATATATATATATATATATATATATATATATATATATATATATATATATATATATATATATATATATATATATATATGAAGGGGTTGTAGGTAACATGCCCGGTGAATATTTGAAAAGGTTAAAAAGAATTTCTTCAGGCATAAAATTGGAATGGCTTCATCAGTGGAATATTACTTATTACAATATATACGTCTATTATATACAAGCTAGTCTATTAAAAATTCATGAATAAAATAAAAAAATTATAAAACTATTGAAATGTCAATTAGCTACGAGTCCGGTCAAGCACTACAAGCAGTGTTTGGTTAATTAAATACTAATTGTTCTACCTATGCAACCGTTCATAATATTTTTGCTACGGTTATGTATTTCAAAGGCTTCCATACATTTGCGTTCTTCTTGGTAGGCTATATTTCTATGTAATATTTTCCAACTTATGTCGGATTGATCTGGTCGTCTACTCTTATGAGATTCTATATGTTTGTACACAGTTTGTTTGTCCATTTTTAAGTGTTCCTTAATTCGCGATCCAATTGTTCTACCGGTTTCTCCAACATATACATTCTCTACATATATATATTGAGCACTCTGGCCCCATTACGCTCTGCGCATGTCTGGATACGTTGAGTCACCGTGTTGTACCACATGCCTTGGTGAGAGCAAGTTCATGGGGTATATATATATATATATATAAAAAAAAT